TTTCCCTTTTAGCCAATCGGTTTCCCAACTGCTTGGCATTCTTTGAGGAGGAAAAAAGTCTCTGTTTATCTTTCAGGCTCTACTGTTCTAGGATCACAGGATCTCCCACTTGAAGTTCTGGGGTCTAACCAAATTCTACTCCCTTATTCTCAGACACCTGCGGGATCAGTTTACACCAGCTTCCTCACTGTAGCTTAAGACACCATCAAGGGTGGCTCTTGCTTGCTCTTGTACAAGCTGGGCTCATTCGCTGTTCAACTAGGCATTGAGGCATGTATGAGGCATAGCTCTCCAGGATGTAGAACCACCGTGAAGTTCAGAATACCATCCCTCTGAGACTTTCTCATCCTCGGTTTTGGCAAGCCCGGCCTGTATTTGCAGCAGGTGAACACAGCCTGCTTATTCGTGGGCCAAGCTGTCGTACGTTCATGCCAGAAGGGACTTTGGTTCTGAACCTAGGCTTCTCCCAGTTTTTTTTCAAGCAGGTGAGCCCACCCAATTCCTTCAAATCGGGGACTAAACTCGAAATTCTTGGTATCCGCTCTTAACTTCATGGCCCCCGAGCAAAGTTCGGCATCCCTTTTAAAGTGAGGACTTAATCCTTTGTGGTAGCCTACAATCACTACTACAAGCAGTAGTAATTAGAGTAGGAGCAAAATTACTCCCCTGAAATACCCACATATAGATGTAGACTATATGCAATTGCACTTACACACATCACCTAAATCTAAAAGGCAAATTGTCAAATCAGAATATCACTTCAGCAGAATCTTTTTCAGTCACAGAGAAAAATTGCTCATGTTCTTTCTGAAATCATTGGAGCAGTTTATGCCTGTCTGATAAATTCTGCATAATTCAGTTTCTCTTTGTGTTTACTCTGTCCTCTTAAGCAGTTTTTAAAATCACCTTGTTTCTTTGAGGCCCACTGAAGTAGATTCATCGTTGAAAGATTGCATCTGGAAATTGAAGCTTGCTGTTGTCTTAGCCACAGGATTGTCTTCCGGCTTGATTTAATTCTAAGAGATGAATCAAGTCCGAGTTAAACAACGTGATCCAAATGCCTCCAGATTTCTTGTTTCTCAGCTAAGCACAAAATTTTAACCTGTTCCTCTGGCTGGTAACAGCAAAAACAAAATGATTAAAAAGTTTCTTACAAGCTGCCAAGATGCCATTTCCTCTCAGTTCACATCTCAAGCTTTGTCTCTCATAGGTCATTTATTTGTATGTCTGTGGCTGCATGTAAGCAGCTTCTCCAAAAGATTTTGTCTTAAAATACAATAGCAAACCTAAGAAAATACAGTAAATTATGGAAAGTTAGCAGCCTTGTTTGTGGTGTACGTGTGAAAACATCTCTGTGTGGTTTCCATGGGAAAGCTCTCTTGTTTTTTGCTTAAATAGGCATTCAAGTGTACATAAATGGAGTCTTTAAAGAATATGCAGATTCCAGAATATGCCTGGGATTTTATGAAGGAATACTGTAAATAAAGCTTGTTTGTTTATACAAATTAAATCCAGTTGTTAGATGCACTCTGGCCAATTTCTGTCTGACCCAGCGCTCCTCTGTAGGCTTTGGTCGTACTTCAGGGACTGCAAGTTAGGACTCGATTTACTCTTTTGTGCTACATAAGTCCACCTACCCATCATTAAAAATAGCAAAAGGATGGAAAACTGGTGTCATAATAAAAAGTCGTTCTTAGGGTTCATATTCATTTTTTCAGGTAGGCTAATAAAGCTTGTTTCTGAGTAACACTGCTGACTAACAGTGGCCGTTGACTGATGTTTGCCGAATGTGCTGTTAATTTTATGTATCGCTCCGTGCTCTGTAAAGGTAAAAGCTTAGAAGGGCTTAAGTGCTGTCAACTGTATATTGGCTATTGCTCTGCCATAAGGTTAAGTGCAGCTTAAGATTAGAAGCACACACACCATGTGTGAGCTACATACATCTCACCAGTGCTGTTGCAGCTACGGTTCATGCTCAGAGCACCCATGCTGTGATTAAGAAGTGTCAGGCCGTAGCACTTTCAGCCTCATCAATAGCTTTTCCTTCAGTATCATAAAATGAGAGGATGTGTGTCATGTGAAGGTGATAGTTGCTATTTGGCCAAGACTGTTGCATTCAGATTTAATGCTTCTTGTAAGGAGAGGAAATGTTTCAGTTGTTCTACTAAAAGGATATCCGAAAAAAAGGGGAGAACTTCAGGCTCTGCAGGGCCCATCATTGTGTTACTGTTTAGAGTTACTCGTGGTAAATTGCCAGTGACTTGCTGTTACATTCAATATATTTTGATATGAGTGCCCTAATGAATTTTTTATATTGACATTAGCCAGTTTTTCAGCTCATCCACTTTTTATTTTCAAGTTAGAGTTCTTCCACTTTTAGGGCAGAACATCCATTGATAGATTTTGCATTCTTTTAA